CTACATTAGGCCTCCCTTCTATGGTTTCGCCTCCAAGAAAGAGAGCTTGGTAGTGAGGCCGAAGTGTAGTACCTTGGCATACTTCAGGTCTTTCAGCATGATTCCCGTGTCGGCTGGGCTCAGGGCAGCATCTTCTGCATCTGCTTCCAAAAAGGACTGGAAAGCCAACTGCTCCATGTTACGCAAAGTTTTTTCAAGCACGTCTGCGGCGAGTTCAGCTGCGCGCTTACCGCGCATTGGGCTCGAAGAAGGCAATTTGGCAAAGAACAACTTGGCTTGCGCGGATCGTTTGTGTTCCTAGGCACGCAAAGCAGGTGCTCGTGTACACAAGCCGAGAGACAAGGATCGAGCGTACGGATCCTTGCAGTCCCAAACCTGCAATTAACCTGTGTAGAACCCGCTGTGTCACATGATGCTTGAAAAACAATCACCACGCACGTCCAACNNGAACCCGCAAAGAACCTGCGCAGAAACAACGCTAGAACAATTACCACCCGCGTCCAACACTGGACTTCCCTCTGGACTCTAGACCCTCTCTCTCGCTTCTTCTAGGACCCGCGTGGACCCACGCCACACAATTGGACCACATCGCTTTCTCATGGACTCGGAGTCCAAACGGTGTGTGTGGGACCCGCGCAGCGTAAGATGGACCCGCAAAGCCCAGAGATGGCCTCGCCGCCACGCAAACAATACTGTCTCTTAAACAACCCGCAAGGGACCCGCGTGACCCACGCCCGCGCAAAGGGCCGTAACACACGACGCAATAAAACAAGCACACTGGACTTTTCTCTCGCCTCCTGACCCACTCGCGTGACACGCAGGCGGCCGCGTGGACCTGTAAATAAACCAACACTCAACAACCAACTACCACACCTCCAACACTGGACTTCCCTCTGGGCCCTTTCTCCCTCTTCCAATAAAACGGACCCGCGCGGCATCCGTGGAACTTGCCTTCTAATGGACTTGCAAAAGACGTACAAGTTTCTTAGATGACCTGTGGGGACCTCTTAATTGGTGTTATTTAAGCTTGAGTCCCCAAGACCTCGTAATCCTGCAGGCTATTTGAAACCACAGAAGGCCTCGGCAGGCCTCGGAAACCATCTGAAATAAGGCTTCCGTAAACAGGCATGGACCCGCCAATATCGCCTGTGGACCCGTAAGAAGGGACTTGCGTGCACAGGTTCCGCGCGCACGCCATACACACGGACGAGTCAGCGGCTGATCCTGCTCCGGACGTCCAACATACCTCAGAGGAAGTCTTTCAGGCTCTCTTGCAAGAGCTTGGGGAGCAAGACGCCTCCAAAAAGGTCCTTGTGCATCTCTTGACGTTCTCGCGCCTGCTGCCAGACACACTGGAAGGTGGAGATCTACGCAATGTAGTCTGCGTCTGGAAGGCTTTCGACAACCCAGTGCCTGCAGGTGCAGGCAGAAGAGGTCGACCATGTACGCGCCGAAGGGCTGGTTAGCAAGCTAGTTGTCTTTTCGGGAGCAGCATGAAGATGGAGACTACTTTTTTCATGTGGCTGTTCTACTCCGACAACCACGCACATTTGCGTCAGCCAAGCGAACGCTGCAAGTTAGGGATCGCCTTTGCCCACTTCTCCTGCTAAGAAGCCACTTGTCGACTCTGAGCCATTATCCTGGGGACCAGAAGGCTGGAACTCGTTGGATCTGTACGAGGAGTCGCAGAACCGTGGACAGCAGAGATCTGGAAGCGTCGCAGAGAGGCCGGACATGTTTTCTACGGAATTATGCTTTTTAATCAAAGGGTTTAACAATAAAAGAAACACGTGCGCATGGTTTTGCTGTCAACCCATACCTCACGCAGGACGCAGAGAAGCAAGCGTCTGTGGACCCAGAGATCAAGCGACCTCGATTTAGCAAATTGGATTTGACAGCCTTAATCATTAGCAAAGGCCTGCGAACCAAAGCCGCCATTTTGGCGTACATGCAGGAGCATGGGTCTTACGAAGCCCAAGTCTTGGTCCACAGCAACCAGAAGAAGTTGAAGAACTTTTTGGATGAAGCTGCAGAATGGCATTCGCGCCCAAGCAGATGCACAGCGAGAGCGGGAGACGGATTGGAAAGCAATGTGTCGCCTTGCTGATAGTCTCTGTGCTTCTGGTAGTTGCTTGTACATGCAGGCTGTCAATACGTTCTTCGCCGCAAATCAAGCTACGATTTCGAAGTTTGATCTTGCAGTTGCGTTGCGAGCGATCATCTGCAAGGGACCTTCCAAGACTACGCGTGTGCCGCTGGTGGCAGGTCCAACCAACTCAGGAAAGACAACTCTCTTCCTTCCCTTTGATGAGGTGTTTGGATTTCAGCATGTTTTCCACAAGCCAGCGTTGGGAAGTAAGTTTGCGTTGCGAAACATTCTCAAGGACAAGCGCTTTCTCTTCTTCGATGACTTTCGACCTGTGGAGTACGGGCAGGAGACCTTGCCTGTCTCCACATTTCTCAGCTTGTTCCAAGGGCAGCCACTTGAAGTGCAAGTTTCTCAGGCCTTCCATGATGGAAATATGGATTTCGAGTGGCGCCGAGGCTGCATCATGACGGCGAAAGCGGAAGGGCTTTGGATTCCACGTGGTGCTGTTTCCCAAGAAGATATTCGGCACATGCAAAGCCGAGTTCTTATGTTCTCAGCTACAGCCACTGTTCCCAATCTTCGCGACACAGTGCCCTGCGCAAGGTGCTTGTGCTTCTGGATTCGGGAGCTTGCTGCGCAGCATGACACGCGTCTAGTCCTGCAAGCGCCACCTTCGCCCAGCCACTATGCTATAGAGGTTCCTGATATGAGACGCTCAGAGTCTATTACTGGACTGGCTGCCCTGGCGGAGCGTGCCAAGCTTCCAGCGCACAAGATCGACCAAATTCGTGCAGAGCTGGAAGCTTTGGGTGCCATCCACATCGCTGAGCTGACTGCAGCAGACTGGCAGTCTTTGAGTTGCTGGCCAACTCTTTTGCCGTTCGAGCAGCGCCGGCTTCTGGCCAGCCGCAGCTAAATGTCGGTAGCGTCTTGTTAACTAGACTTCTGAAAGCTTAGTTTCGCAGAAGAGGTTGTGGTCTGCGCATTGTCAATGTCTGAGCCTGTGACAGGAAAACAGCGAGGAAGTTCCGCCCACTGCCATTTGCGTTCAGCCCAGTCATGTTGAAAGCGTGACTGTGTCTGTTCCTACATGATTTCCACAGCAAGCAGTCTCCACGGACCAGCATTCTCTCACACCTTCCGGTCGAGGCCTGCTGCGGCCCTAGTTGACAAGAGCATACGTAGAGAGGAAGGTATCTGCGCACCCATCAAAGGTGTTTGCCCCAGTCTTAGAGTCACCAAAGGCGCCACTGTGCTACTGTTCCCATGCGGAAAGGCAAGTCAGTCTGGACTTGGCGTCCAGGGTACAGACGTATAAGCACGCCCGCCATCTGAGCTGTGGGTCCAAGTTGACCAGGGCATACGTAGAGAGGAAGGTATCTCCACATCCATCCAAGCTGTT